GGTTTCCCTCGCTCGAAAGCCAGTTGAATCCGACTCTAGGGATGTGGTGCTCATCTCTGCTACCAAGCCAAAGAGCCAGCGCAATCCAAAGACGTTTCCGTGGTCATGTGGCCAGCATGACTAAACACCGAGGCGCACGGAACGCTGTTACCTTCCCTCCAAAGCAGTACCTATTTATCTACTTGCAGTTTCTTGCTTTCGAACTGCTCGGTTGGCAGGAGCTGGGGCCAGAGACGGGAGCTCACTCCGTCATGCGGCACTCGGGTCTCGAACTGCTGAGCTACCGACCTTCCAGTCTGCAGCTCAGCGTCTTAACCACTTGAGCCGCCGCAGCCCCTTGGATGGAATGTACATCTTAGGCAAAATTGACACATTTGGCACCTTCGGGCCAGTTTGTGGCCATCCTGCATTGACCTCGTGCCCTCACAATGGCTCGAAGAGATCGGCAGGAATTTCTGTCCTTCAGACAACCTCTCCTTGTGACTGTTTCTAAGGTTACAGCGAGGCCGTGGGCTTTTCTGTGGTGGGCCCAGTCCTTTGAGCAGCCCACCAGCATGGGCTAGGCCCTCCTGTCTGCTTTTCTTGCATGCTTCTCAATTTGCAATTTGTGTGCCTGTGTTTTAAAATGGTTAATTTGGACTGCTGCGATTTGAGAAAGACCCACAGACCAGAAGAAAGTGCCTCATTGGGCACCCTGATTCTCTCCACAAAAATGCGGGGGCAAAATCTGAAGCTCTGGAAGGTGTCTAATGTTCCATGGGCTTCAAGGCACCGTGCAAATGTCTCTTCCCTCTAAGTAGCAGAATGAAACTACTCAAAATCAGCAGTGCAAATATATCCATGTTTTACAGAGGGCTGACAATCCCCAGGCAAAGCTCAGAAAGCCAGCATGGTCAACCACCATAGCCAGCCTGACCTCAAGCAGAAAGCAGCTCAAACTGAGGAATCCATTCAGAAAGCTGCGGTTTTATAGGACCAGCTGAAACCCTATTGGATTGATAGGATCACTTGACTGCTGCTGACCCAGGAAGCTGCAGCGCCACCTTCTGGCCAGCCACCGCAGGTGGTGCATGAGCAGAGCCGAGAGAGACCCGGTATTGGTGGTGCAGATCTTCAATCTGGTTTAGTTGCCAGTGCCCCAGCTTTAAGACAATTCTCTAGAACATTTGTGTAACTGTTCGTGAAGCAGTACAAATCCGTGCCTTACGAGGTCACAAAATTCTGCATCCCTTCCGCTAGATAGTTCTGTCAGAGCAGACTTGCTCTGAGGGTTAAGAAGCAGGTACAAAGGGATATAGCCCTGTCTATCAATCTAGTAAAGGTAAAGGATTCCCTTGCTCGAAAACTAGTCGAATCCGACTCCAGAGGGCGGTACTCCTCTCCATTTCCAAGCCGAAGAGCCAGCGCTGTCCAAAGGCTTCTCCGTGGTCATGTGGACGGCATGACTAGACGCCGAGGCGCACGGAACGCTGTTACCTTCCCCCCAAAGCGGTACCTATTTATCTACTTGCAGTTTCTTGCTTTCGAACTGCTAGGCTGGCAGGAGCTGGGGTCAGAGACGGGATCACTCCGTCACGTGGCACTCGGGTCTCGAACTGCTGAACTACCGACCTTCTGGTCTGCAGTTCAGCGTCTTAACCACTGAGCCACCACTGCCCCCACGTCTATCGGTCTTACCTTTATACAAACCATGCATCGCCTGCATTTTCCTCTCCCTCATCGATCTCTCTGTTCTTTTTTTGCAGCACGACAGAGAACTTAGCCATCTACATCTGGAACAACCTGGAAAAGATCCTCCCCGCAGGATGCCTGTACAAAGTCAAGGTCTATGAATCTGACAAAAACTTCATTGTTTACAAGGGAGAATAAAAAAATGTAGACGAAGCCGAGGGGGCTCCGGCTGGGAGCGCATTTCCCCATGTGTCATGTTAACACTCATTCTGGATGCAGTTTGACAGTCTTTCATCAGAACATTTGCAAGCGATTCCAAGTCTGGAATGCAGAGGGCAGAGGGGCCAGTCACGTTTGTTGCTTTCGAACTGCTTTGAACCACAGAATTTTTCCCTAGTCTGGTGGTCGGACTTGAAAAAATGTTCTTCCTGCAGCTAAGGGCCATTTCTTTTTGGCTAAACTGGATTTCTCTCACACACACATACACAATATTTGGTAGCATGCAGCGGAAAATCTGGACTAACACAGTTCAAAAGCCTCTGCGAGGTTCAAATGTAGCGGCCAGTTGGAATCAGGAGCCGTATGTCATGACCTTTAAGGAAAAACATGTCTGAAACTGGCTTGGCGCTACAGTCACACAGGCTTTCTGCTCCTCCACCTGCCATTTGCATTTGAACAGTTCACACTGGTTACCCATGTTCTATGAATGCTGGCACACGCGTCAGCCAGG